TTTACAAATATTTTCTCCCATTTTATCGGTGTCTCTTCACTTTGCTGGGTGTTTATTTTGTAATACAAAAGCTTCTCAGCTTGATGTAATCAGTTTTTAAATTTTGGCTTTGATCACTTGTGCTTCTGGGTTCCTTTCCAAGAAGTCTTTGCCTATTACAGTGTCTTGTAGAGTTTCCCCCATGTTCTTCGTGATTTGTTGATATCAGATTGTATATTTAGATCTTTGACCTGATTTGAGTGGATTTTTTTGTAAAGTGTAAGGTAAGGGTTTAGTTTCATATTTCTGCATGTGGAGATCCAGATTTCCCAACATCATTTGTTAAAAAGAGTGTCCTTTCTCCATGAATTGATTTTATCTCCTTTATCAAAGATAAGTTGGCTGTAGATGCATGGATTAACTTCTGGAGTTTCTGTTATGTTCCATTGGTCTACAAGACTGTCTTTGTGCTAGTACTAGGCTATTTCAACTATAGGTGCTGTGTAGTATTGTGAATTTCTTGAACTCAGGTATTGTGATTTCTCTGGCTTTGTTTTTGTTGTATAAGTTTGCTTTAGCTATTCAGGGTCTCATGCTTCCATATGAATTTTAGCATAGTTTTCTCTAGATCTGCAAATAGTGTCGTTGGTGTTTTGACTGGGATTCCATGAACATGGAAGATTTTCCATTTTCTAACGCATTCTATTTCTTTCTTTAGTGTTTTGTAATTTTCATCATAGAGAACTTTGACATCCTTTTTAAATCTTATTCCAAGTTATTTGATTCTTTTTGGAGTTATTGATCCTAAAAGTTCTTTCTCAGCCATGGCATTGTCTATATATTTAAAGGCTATTGATGTTTCTGTGTTGATTTTATGTCCTGCTACTTTACCGGACTCTTTTATGAGTTCAAATAGTCTTTCAGTGAAGTCTTTTGGGTTACCTATATATAGGATCATGTCTTCTGCAAATAGGGATAGCTTGATTTCCTCCTTTCCAATTGTGTCCATTTTATTTCTTTTTCTTGCTTAATGGCTCTGGCTAAAACATCCATGACTATATTAAATAGCAATGGTGAGAGTGGGCATCCTTGTCTGGTTCTGGATCGTAGAGGGGAATGCTTCCAGCTTTCCCCCATTCAAGAGGATGCTGGCCGTGTGTTTGTTATATATTGCATTGATTGTGTTGAGGAATGATCCTTCTATACCCATTTTGCTTAAGGTTTTTTTCATGTATTTTATCAAAAGTTTTCTCTGCATCTAATGAAATCATCATATAGTTTTTTGTTCTTCAGTTTGTTAATGTGATGTATCACATTGATTGACTTGAAAGTGTTGAATCATCCCTGCACACCAGGGATAAATTCCACTTGGTCCAGGTGAATTATCTTTCTGACAGGTTGTTGGATTCAATTAGCTATTTTTTTTGACAGGCAGAGTTAAACAGTGAGAGAGAGAAAGACAGAGAGAAAGGTTTTCCTTTTTCTGTTGGTTCACCCCCCAAATGGCCGCTATGGCCAGCTTGCTGCGCCGATCCAAAGCCAAGAGCCAGATGCTTCCTCCTGGTCTCTCATGTGGGTGCAGGGCCCAAGCACTTGGGCAATCCTCCACTGCCTTCCTGGGCCACAGCGGAGAGCTGGACTGGAAGAGGAGCAACCGGGACAGAATCCGGCACCCCAACTGGGACTAGAACCCGGGGTGCCGGCACTGCAGGCAGAGGATTAGTGAAGTGAGCTGCGTTGCTGGACGATTAGCTAATATTTTGTTAAGGATTTTTGTTTCTATGTTCATCAGGGATTTTGGTCTATAATTTTCTTTCTCCATTGCATCTTTTTCATGTTTAGGTATTAAGGTGATCAAGGCCTCATAGAAGCAGTTTGGGAGGATTTCTTCCCTTTTAATTGTTTTGAATAGCTTGAGAAGAATTGGAATTAGTTCTTAAAATGCCTGGTATAATTCAGCAGTGAAGCGGTCCAGTCCTGGGCTTTTGTTTGGTGTCTTTATTACTGATTCAAATTCTGTCTTGGTTATGGGTCTGCTTAGGTTTTCTATATCTTCATGACTCAATTTTTGTAGATTGTGTGTTTCTAGGAATCTATCCATTTCTTCTAGGTTTCCTAATTTGTTGCCATACAGCTCTTTGTAGTACTTTCTGATGATTCATTTTATTTCTGTGGTATCTTTCGTTACATTTCTTTTTTTTCTTCTCTAATTTCATTTTTTTTGGTTGCCAATGGTGTATTAACTTTATTTTTTCAAAAGAACAGCTCTTCATTTCAGTAATGTTTGTATTTTTGTTTCAATTTTATTGATTTCTTCTTTAATTACATCCTATTTATTTGGGGTTTAGCTTTATTGTTGTTTTTCTAGGTCTTTGAGATGAATTGATAGCTCATTTATTTGGTGTATTCCCAGTTTCTTTATGTAGGCACCAAAATTGCTATAAAATTCCCTCATAACCTGCTTTCTGTTAAGTTTTGATATGATGTTTTGTCATCTTATTTGTTTCCAGAATTTTTTGGATTTGTGTTTTGATTTCTTCTTTGGCCTACTGTTCATTCAAGAGCATGTTGTTCAGTCTCCATGTGTTTGCATATCACCTAGATATTCTTGAGAGATTCTGACAGAGAATTGCTCAAAGATGCAGTGTGTCTTCTCAGAAAGTTGTACCTACTAACTTCAACCCAATCATGTTGTAATTGCTTAAAAAATCTTCTTATTACTTTGAAGTTCCTAAACTTTTTATAACTAGATTCTTTATCAGGTCATTAAGAACTTCTCTAGATGGGTAGTTCAGTTAATGTTTTTACGACCACTACAGTGTATTACAGAACCCAGAGTACAGGAATTTGGAATTCTTTTCATCAAAGAAGTGACACATCAACATGGTTTTGGTTAAGTGAGTATAATCTCTATAAGTAAATATTGGAAGATATATTTTAGATTGTGAGGCATCATGAAAAAATATAGAAAATTAGATAAGCTGTGGTACATTCACAAAAGAGCAAGAAGTCTCAGTGTATGACTATGTAAAGTAGCAAGACATTGCACTGCAAAAGGACTCTAGGTTTTCACAGGACTAATTTTGTATTCAACAACAGGAAGTTTATAATTTACTCTATAGGAAATGGGTTACAAGCTTTCATGTAACTAAGAAGTTAAATCTATATTTTAAAAAGATAAATATAATTAACACTGAGGAGATTGCAGCCTAGAAAATAATTTGTGTAGCCATTATTAGTCTAAGGAAAATTATGAGGAATTACTGGATATTGAGAAGAAAAGAAAGAAAACAGATTGTCAGAGATAAAAACATAGGTCTTGAGGAGTGCTTAAATATATAGCAAGAAATGTTTTATTAAAGGCTTCCTAAAATCCATCAATGGGCTTAAAATATATAGAGAAAAGTAATCTAGAAATCAAGAGACATGCAAAAGTTGGTCATGGAGATTTGAAAGTAATCAATATACAAAAGAAGTTATAGAAATTAATTGAAAATTCTGCCACTTATGAGTCACATGGGAAAGGGGCTTAAAACAAAGGTTATGGCAGAAGGAGGAAAATTAAAATGGCAAACAATCAAGAGAATTCAATATAATGTAAGAGAAGGCAGAGATTCAAACAAAGATTTCTGTTAAGGCTGAAAGTCAAGTATGCGGGAAAACAGAGAGATTATTAGATACAACAATTACAGTGTCATTGCTGCCATTGAGAAAGCAATTGCAACACTGAAATCAGAGCAAGGGTTCGACTAAAATTTTTTCAAGAGTGAATGGGGAGAAGGACTGTAGTAGTGAGTATGAAGTTATATAGTAAATTGTGGAAAAAAGATTGAATACCAAATAATGTTGAAGGAAGAAAAGTATAATCTACTCTTTTCTCCTTATTGTAAGATAGCAACACTTTACTGTTTCAAATATGGGAATCATACACAAAAAATTAAAGTGACTATTAAATCACTGCAAGATATAACTTCAGGTTTTAGGAAAGTTGTCTGTAATTCATTTATGCCAAAATATGAACTAAAGAGAGGAAAACTGCCTTTTTAAGCCTGCTTTTAACATACTGGAAAGACTATTCTAGTGATATGGTGACAAGAGTTGGAAGCAGAATAGCTATGCTCAAATCCTAACTATGCTATTTACTAGCAGAGTGAAGTTGGCCAACTCAAACAAACTACTGGGACTTCCATGAACTAATTTTCAATGTAGTGATAATGAAAACTAGGTAAACACTTAAATCAATATGGTAATTTATGTTTAAGTGCACATCAGTTAAGAATGCAGTGGATTATTTTGATGGATTATAATAGGATAGCATGGGTGGGATTTTATAGAATGGAGCAAAAACAAGTAAATCAAAAGTGATGGCTTAAATCATAAATAATGGCACAAAAGACCTTTGTGATGATCAAGAAGAAAGTTGATAAACAGATGCAGCATGATCACTTCCTCTGTTATTAAGTGGAAGAAAAAGGATTACGGAACTGAGGAAATAGTACAACTTTTAACTTTTGTGGGAATTCATTCCAATTGTTTAAATGCAGCTTTTTTAATAGTCTCAGTTATCTAATTCACAGTTTAAAGAACAGAAAGAATAGTTTTAATATCAATGTTTCCCAACAGTGCTACTGTGAGTTGTAGAGTATGTAATAAGTAGGAATGAAAACACTTCTATATTGCTTAATTAATCCAAGGCTTTACTTCTTCCTTTTTGTAGATTTTTATAAACATAATACTGAATAAATTACGTCTTTCTAAGTAAACTGTTTACAATCAGAAGAAAGTTTATCAAGGCTCACTCTTCTCTTCCTAACTAGTTTTCAGTTAATGTTGAAAATATCCACCATTTGCATCTCAGTGTGCAAAACTTCTCTAATTTTGATATTTCATATTTGAATATCATATTATTCATTGAAATATAATTGTGTGAATTTGAATTTAAAATTTATTACAAGATATTTTATTGCTATCATTTTACACGTGACATATGTTCATGCTTTAAAATACAATTTATCTTTCAGTGAAGACATGTGGCTCCAATCTTCAAGGACCAAGTGGAACCTTTACATCACCCAACTTTCCATTCCAGTATGACAGCAATGCCCAGTGCGTCTGGGTCATCACCGCAGTGAATACAAATAAGGTAAGGAAAACCATTTGTGGTGAAAAAACAAGCACACAAAAACAAAAGCAAAGGGCTATGAGAAATGTACACAATAGAAAATATATAGTTCAAGTATGATCTTGGCAAAATTTACTCATAACCCATTTTATAAAACAAATCTATGTGAGCAATTTGAAAAAATAAAAATAAGACAGTATACTCCCAGTTACTAAAATATAAAGGAAAGAAATTACAGTTGTAAAAGTGAATCTTTTCTGAGCTCCATTTTTGAAGATGGTAAGTATGCATTTCCATTTTTAAAGAGGGCTCTGTGAATAATGGCTTTTCATTTGATATCTTCCTGCTTGATTCCTCGTTCAGGTAGAGCACAGTTTTGTGCACAGCTGACTTTCATTTAATGTTTCTCTCTTGATATATTCACACATCTACTTAGTAGAAATAGCTTGTTTAATGTGCTTCACACTAATATAGGATTCATATTACTGATATTTCAAAAGGTTGAATTGCCTTTCTATTTGATTCCAAGACAAATAATATACCTAAATATGTATATTTCCTACTATATTTCAAACAAAATTATAATACTGAATTAGTATAAAAGTAGTTAAAAATTTGTCTAGTTTTCTATATCTCTACACCATCCTGCCTGTGCTTGTAAGCTGTGCATTTATTCCAATAGGGACACTTGAATGGGAACAACCTAAATTCCTCCCCGACTCTCAGATTGGGTGGTATTTTCTCTGTGTTAGTTAGCTGAAACTTCGATGGCAGTGTTCATAAAATTTGGTTAGATTGTGGTTCAAATATTGATTTATAATTTACTGATAACTTGAAGTTATTTGACTTCTCTGAAGTTTTTTTACCTATGAAATGTGAAAAATAATAAATATTTCACAATACTGTGAGAAGTAAGTTAATGCAGGGTGGTCAGTGGAATTCCTGAATACTTGAAATAGATAAGATAAAGAATATACTAATTCCCAGGAATGTCTAAATTAAGTTATTGAAATCTCATCTTAAGAGCAAAAGTGATTGGGCTGGCACCATAGCGCACTGTGTTAATCTTCCGCTTGCATTGCTGGCATCCCATATGGGTGCCTGTTCTAGTCCCAGTTCTTCCTCTTCCAGTCCATCTCCCTGCTATGACCTGGAGAGCAGTGGAAGATGGCCAAAGTGTTTGGGCCCCTGCACCTGCATGGGAGACCAGGAAGAAGTACCTGGTTCCTGGCTTCGGATCAGCACAGTTCCGGCCATTGTGGCCATTTGAGGAGTGAACCAACGGAATGAAATCCTTTCTCTCTGTCTGCCTCTCTCACTGTCTGTAACTATACCTTTCAAATAAATAAATAAAATCTTTAAAAAAATAGCAAAAGCATTGATTTAAAAATCAACTCAGTATTCAGTTACATTTACCTCACCATAGAACCTTTTTTTATGAATCAGTAAAACTAGATGAGAAACCTAATCAGCTCCAAATTTTCTTTGTAAATGGGACAAATTATGGAATAAAGCCCCCCAACTGCATAAAGGAAATCATTTTATCCACCCAACCAATGTTATCCATTCAATTCATTGTAACAAATATTTCTTTTATGTGCAAGTTTAGTTGTTGAGAAAATGTAAAATAATGAAGTGTTTGAAAAATAAACTTTGGTTGAATACTTGGCAAAATGCTGAACACTCTTTTCTGTGCACTTTTCATAAATTATCTAATCCTCATAATACCTAAGTTTAAAAGACACCCTAGGAGCAGGTATTGTAGAGCAGTAAGTCACGCCACTCCTGGGGATTCCCATATTCCTTATTTGAGTAGGTGTACTAGGTGAAATCCAAGCTTCTCTGCTTTCAATCCAACTTCCTGCTAATGCACTGTGGAGACAAGTGATGGCTGGAACATTTTGGCACCTGCCACCCTCATGGGAGATCTGGATGGTGTTCTGTTTTTATTTTTATTATTTTTTATTATTTTTTTATTTTTTGACAGGCAGAGTGGACAATGAGAGAGAGAGACAGGGAGAAAGGTCTTCCTTTGCCGTTGGTTCACCCTCCAATGGCCGCCGCGGCCGGCGCGCTGTGTCCGGTGCAGGTGCAACGCGCTGATCCAATGGCAGGAGCCGGGTACTTATCCTGGTCTCCCATGGGGTACTGGGCTCAAGTACTTGGGCCATCCTCCACTGCACTCCCTGGCCACAGCAGAGAGCTGGCCTGGAAGAAGGGCAACTGGGACAGAATCCGGTGCCCTGACTGGGACTAGAGCCCGGTGTGCTGGCGCTGCAAGGCGGAGGATTAGCCTAGTGAGCTGCGGCACTGGCCCTGGATGGTGTTCTGTAACCCTAGCTTCCTTCTGGGTATTGTAAGCATTAAATTACAATAATTGTTATGGACCAGTTTAAATAAACAGCAATTAATTTGAAAATTGAATAATATGGCTAGAGACTGGTGCTGTGGCTCAGCAGATTAAAGCCCTGGCCTGAAGTACCGGCATCCCATTTGGGTTCTAGTCCTGGTGGCTTCTCTTCCAATCCAGCTCTCTGCTATGGCCCTGGAAAGTAGTAGAAGATGGCCCAGCTCCTGGGCCCCTGCACCTACGTGGGAGACCCAAAGAAGCTCCTGGCTCCTGGCTTCAGATCGACACAGCTCTGGCCATTGCGACTATCTGGGGAGTGAACCAGCAGATGGAAGACCTCTCTCTCTGTCTCTTCCTCTCTCTGTAACTCTGCCTTTCAAATAAATCTAAAAAAATATGGCTAAGATTAAAAATTAAATTAATATTCATTCTTGATATTGCTTTATGCTACCTCCATAAGCTTCTGTAAAAGAAGCTTTCTATTAATTATAACATTTGGATTATATATATAATTGGGGAGTTTCTTCATAATAGCAAGTTGAAATATTAAAACTGGGACTTCACACTAGCCTGGTGAATTGAATTCTCCCTTCATTAAATTGCACATTCTTCGTTAGATACATGTATGAAATGTAGTCCTGAAGTCCCAACTGTATCTTTTTATTCTTCAACATTTCCCTTTTATAATTGTTCTTTTCAATTTCAAAAGAAAGACATATATTACTTTCATAGCTTGAATATTAATATGTTATATTTCCTGAGTATAAATAAAACTTCAGAAAATCAGAGGAGAAAATTCTAGATTCCCACTTTGTGAGGGAAAGTTCTTGAGAATAAAGGGAGGAAAAAACTTCACTAAAATATATTTGAAGGGAGCAGTACCTTATTGCATCCACACAACATAGAAGTGTCCATGCCTGTATCAATCTATGTGTCTATGTGTCTACTTATCTTTCATTCATCTGTCTTTTTTAATCTGCTTTTTAAAATATTTTATTTATTTGTTTATCTGAAAGACAAAGTTAGTGAGAGAGGAGGAGAGATAGAGAAAGAAAAAAAATCTTCCATTTGTGACTCACTCCCCAAATGTCTGCAATGACTGGGCCATGTTCAGGCCAAAGCCAGGAGCCCAAAATTAATCTGGCTTTCCAACACAGGTGGCAGGGCCCCCAGCCCCCAGACCATCATCTTCAGCCATCTCAGGTACATTGACAGGAGATGGACCTGAAGCAGGACAGCCAGACCCAAACTGTCTCCTGAATATGGGATGCAGGTGTCACAGGTGGTAGCCCAACACATTTCATCTTAATGCTGAAACCCTGTCTGCCTATTTTTTTTTATCCTTACAATTATGTATATTCATTCATGATACATGGAAGGATATTAGAAACTAATTTGGACTGAAACCTGAATTCTTATTTGTTTGGACAGAAAAAAATTTCTAATTTGTGTATTTGATTTTATACCTTGCATTTAGAAATATATTGTAGCTAAATTTATAATTTGAGTGGAATAATGACGCAAAATTTTGAGGAAAATGTATTTAAGTTATCTGTTAAAATGATAGAATTTACATCCTTTGCAGCTAATCAGAATTATAATTTAAGAAATAGCTATAAATTTAAAATTGTAGTTTAAAGTACAATGTCCAAAATTTTTTGCTTTATTTGAGCAAGAGTTTAAAGCCTATGTCAGTGCTCAATAGCCACGTGTTACTAGTGGCTCCCATACTGAACATTTCCCTTATTGTGGAGGATTCCATTAGATTGCTGTGGTCTGGAGAATGAGATGGTAGAAGGTATTGAGGAGAATAAATGCTCTGTTGAAGGTCATTAGGTCATTGGTTCTGGCAAATTTTTTTTTACAAAAACTTCAAAAAATGGGGAAAAAATAATGTTCTCATTGACTAGCAAACTTGGAGTTTTAAGATTCATGACTAGCCCGCGCCGAGGCTCACTGGCTAATCCTCCGCCTGCGGCGCTGGCACCCCAGGTTCTAGTCCCAGTTGGGGCACTGGATTCTGTCCTGGTTGCTCCTCTTCCTGTCCAGCTCTCTGCTGTGGCCCAGGAGTGCAGTCGAGGATGGCCCAAGAGCTTTGGGCCCTGCACCCGCATGGGAGACCAGGAGGAAGCACTTGACTCCTGGTTTGGATTGGCGTAGCAGCCACTTGGGGGGTGAACCAATGGAAAAAGGAAGTCCTTTCTCTCTGTCTCTCTCTCTCTCACTGTCTAACTCTGCCTGTCAAAAAAATAAATAAAATAAAAAGATTCATGACTGTATCATAGAGCATTCAAATGTCTATTTCAAACTTCAGGATACATTTCCTTTTCAATAAGTGCCCTAATTTTCACATGAGAAACTTGGCAATTCCATAAATTCAGCCTACATTATAATTATGTCACTGGCATAATTAAATTTTATCTATATTTTGTAGCCAAAACTAGCTGGTGCTACAAAGCTAACATACAAGATTTCTTTTCTGACCATGACTTCAACTATAAATTTGTTTCTTTCCAGCTTTAGTGCAGCCATTAATAAGCATCTCCCCCTACAGTTATTATAGTCTTGAGAATGTTAGCCTTCATATGTAGCAACTGCTTGCCCCCACTTATGCAAGCTTTACCTTCAATATGTGTTTCATCTCAATTAGATAGATAAATAGATAGATAAT